TTTGGGTCACCTGATTTACATATCGTATATCACTTGATGTTGCGTATACGTAAATGTATGTGTGTAGAGGAGCTCTATATGGTTTACTCTTACAAGTTTCTGGACTGTCGTCTGTAGTATCTGACATTTCTCTTCATTTCATTCCTCTCATATTTTCATGGTATACTTTCACTCTAAGAAAGGGGATTTCAAACTTTTTAAATAAGTGTATCCCCGGCAGCCTCCTTTTTAATAAGTGTATCCCTGGGGCAGAGGGGTGGCGAGCGGCCGGATGCAGAGTGGAGTGGGGGTGGTGAGCAGCCAGATGTGGAGCTGTGGTGGGGGGTGGGAAGTAGCCAGATGCAGAGCCGGGGGGCGAGCGGTGGCAACACAGTATATGTGCGGCTCTGCTCCTGCGCCACGGCCCTGGTGCTGTGAGGCAGCAGCACAAGGTGGCAGCACTCTGTCCCTGCCTGCCCCCACATACTGCCTGGTACCTTTCAGTGTAACCTCGAAGGTATGCGTACCCCCTGGTTGACAACCCCTGCTCGAAGGTAAGAGTGAAGAGGGAATATGCAGGTGCAAAATTTACTGCTGAAGATGTTGAAATTTTAGTAAACTAAATTTGTGAGTATGAAAAAATGAGGATTTTGAGTATTGTTGTTTATAAAAAGATACCCATCTCATATAGCTTTAAATACACTTGTAGTGTTGATAGCATCTGAAAACACTAGGTGTGTGTACACACTGGCCTGTTGGCAGCCAAAACACTATGGGAATGGGGCGGTCCATATTCCTTGGTGTTCAGCAGTAGATATTCCTCGTGCGGCATCTGAGTGTCAACAGCTCGGAGGCAACGTTCTGGAGCACATGTGCTGGAGCTTAAGCACTGTCACCAATGAATGTGGTCCTGCAAAAAAAGAAAGATACCATGCTTGTAGTCTCACCAGCTTAAGAACAAACATGGTGCCATCTGAAAAGATGGGCGTAAATGAAGTCAGTTAAAAGACAATGCATAAACATTGTATGTAGCAGCTGAAGCTGAATTCCCAGCTGTGAGTGTTTGAACAGCTGTCTGTCCCTGAAATTTAACAGTAGAAACCCACTGCCGATAGAAATTGAAATTGCCCAAAATGGAACAGAAGGATTCATAGACTGCACAGTTCAGCTCCAGATCTGTGTTTGAATTAAGATTGGCTTTGCTTCTCAAAAAAAGGCACCCGAGCCCTGAAGTTCAGAAACAATCAAAACTTTCCACCAAGACAGGGTGTTATCTCCTGTTGTTTGGTTCAGGCTCATGTCTTCCATTTTATAAAAAAGCCATGAATGAAATCCTGTGACGTTTGGCATCGTGGGCAGATTCCAGTTAACTGAACTGAAAAGCTCCTGCTGACTTTTGTGAGCTTTGGGTCAGGTCCTGTAACCTTCAGTGTTCACTTTTTTACAACCTGTTCCCATATATTTCCTTTATAGGCCTCATTTCTAGACACTGTGTTAAAATTATTAGAGTGTTTAAAAGTGTATTGTAAGGGTGATCAACGTTATTTTAGTGTGCCCTTTTTCTTATCTGACTAAGGGTAACAAGCTATCATTTTTTGTTTCTGTTGTGAACAGGAAATGTTTGATGTCATTTTGGATGAAAATCAGCTTGAGGATGCTTGTGAACATTTGGCAGAATACCTTGAGGCATACTGGCGTGCTACACATACTACCAGTAGCACACCCATGACTCCTCTTCTTGGAAGGAACCTGGGATCTACTGCACTTTCACCATACCCTACTGCAATCTCTGGATTACAGGTATGAAAATGCATCTGACCCCAGTCACTAGTACAGGTCAGTTTGATTATATTTATAGAAGAATGGTATATTTTCTGAAATGTATCCAGTATTTGCTTTATTGATTACTATTCACTGTTTGGCAACTGCCAGCAGTAAGAATGTTAACTAGATTCCTGTTAATCAACAGAGAAACATTTAGTCAGTTGAGTGCTCCAGCACTCTGACTAGTTTTGTTTTAAGGGGGAATAAAATAGCCATATTTTTTTGGTATGGAGAATAAATGGAGATTAATGGCACTCCATCAAGTGCTATATTACAAAATGGCATCTTTTTATCAGGAAAGAAGTGCCATTAGAAATAAGAGCCTTCAGAATGAAAACAAGCATGTACAATATGTTACAGCACTTCTGATAACAGCTACTATAGTTAAGGATGCAGAACAGTTTCTATTATAACCCCATTTTCACACACTCATAACTACAAAACATGCACCTTTTCGGCAAAAATTTTCTGTGCTTGTCTCTTGCCCAAGTATAAAGTTTCAGCAAAATGCCTTCACCTGTTTGAGTTCTTTGAGTGTGAATAAAATACATTGTACCCATTGAAAAAAAATTCTGACCATTTTTTTTCACAGGGATAGCTCAAAAACGGCCGAACTTTGAAACGTCAAACGTGGCATGTAAATAGTCCTTAATGAGAAGTACGTGCTTTACTAAGTTTGAACAAAAAATTGTTTTTGAAGTGATAGTTATGAATGTTTGAAAATGCAAGATCAGGAATGCAGTGATCATTGTCATTAAGGCTGAAAGTTTCAGAAAGAGTTCTGAACGGTTGTGTGACTTTTGAGGAGTGTGCACTTCCTAAATGTATGTCATCAACAGAGGAAATAAGTCCTAATGAATAATTTACCTGACAAATTTAACCCCTGTTCTGCTTATGGAATATGTGGAAGCAGGTAATAATTTCTGAAACATGGATTAAATATTCAAACTGATCCATTATGCACTGTGTCCAGTATGTATACAAACATTATGGACTGATTGCAGACAATGCACTGAAAGTGTATAATATTTTATGCTTACATTTCTAACTACCTGGCGTGATTCAGTTAGGCCCAGTAAGCGTCTGTTCCCTAACCAGATGAATGCACAAGCAGTTCTGGCATTAGTAACTACACAAACAAAGAAAACATTTTGCTTCTAGTCTCACTTAATTTTAAACTTTCAGTTTTCCATCCACCCCTGTCAGCAGAATGGCATTATCTAGAATGTTCACTGGAACTAATTTATTAAAAATGTGGGTATATGCACTGATTTTTTTCCAATATCTTTATATTTATGATGAATTAACAACAGCAGTGATGGTAAAACAATATGCCATATGTTTAAGGAAAATGTTTACTGGATCCAGCATGCGGGGCTAGTCTGTGGACCCAATCTGGCCTGAGGACCAGCCCAGCACCACTAATCCAGCCCATAAACCCAATGAGTTTGACACCCCTTGTTTACAGAGAGATGGAGTTACCTGTGTTAGGCTGAAGGGGGGGTAGCTTTGCACCGTATAGACTAGGGGTGGGCAATTATTTAGACTGGAGGGCCGCTTAAGGAATTTTAGTGAGCTGTTGTAGGCTGGGGACGGGGGGGGAAGGGGAAGGTGCTGGCTCAACACGGGGTGAGTAATTAATTCTATCTGACCCTAGGTCTGTTCATCAAGCACCCAGGGGCACCAGATGGAGTGGGTGGGCAGACAGGGTCTCCATGGCCCAGGACCCCCACAGACAGGGCGTGCTTGGCCAGGCAGATGGGATGTGGGCATGGAGTGGTGCCCAGGAGAAGGATGGGCAGGCAGGGCTGGGATCACAGGGTGGTGGGTGACAGCATGGGACTGGGGCCCAGGGCAGGTAATCTGCATGTCCCTGAGATATGTGCCAGTTCTGTCGGCAGGGACATGCAGGGAACAGATTGTGGCTCTGCCCTGGGCTCTAGGCCTGTGCTGTCACCATCCCGTGAACCTGACCCCAGTGCCCATCCACCTGTCCCACTTCTGGATGCTCCTCCCTCACTACCCAAGGCCCCATCCCATCCACCAATCATGCCCTGCTCACGGGGGTTCTGGGCCAGTCTCCTTGGAGACCCCTCCCACTCTGTCCAGCTCTCCTGGTGGTGGGTGCATGGTACACAGGCAGGGGTGCCTGGGTAGCAGGACCAGATTTGATGGTAGCAAAGACACTGGCAGCAGCAGCTGGGCAGTGTGAGCCTCTGCTACAGGGGCTGGTGGGAAGCTGAGCCCAGCTGCTATTCCCCCTCCCCCACCCCCGCAGCTTCCCCTCCACTGCATGCTCAGGGGTGGTGGAGCCGGCTGCAGGTGCCATGGTCCAGGCTGAATCCCGTGTCTGGGCCAGGCAGGGCTAAGGCACCTGCCTTGGGCCAGACAGAATCCCTTGGCAGGCTGGATCTGGCCCACGGGCCATATTTTGCCCACTAAATCAGGGATCTGATTGCATGAGCTTGGGCTTACAAAAAGTTGTGCTATACATTTCTGATTTAGTTAGTCTGTAA